ATTTTCAAGCTCCTGAACTTTCGGGACCGTGATGCTATCCTGCGAGAGGCTAGAGTGCTGGGAGAGCTCAAATACGAAAATAGCAAGCTGCTTATTTTCCCGGATTACTCAGTGGAGACCCAGCGGCAACGTAAGTCCTTTGACTCCGCTAAGGCTGCCCTAAGAGCCAAGGGGATCAGATACAGCATGCTCTTCCCGGCGCGCTTGCGGGTGCAGGATGGGGAGGCTGCTCGCTTCTTTACTGATCCGGAGGAGGCCTGCAAATGGGTCGAACATCTGCCCAAGACCTGAGATTTCTAGCTGCTGTTTGGATTTCTATTGAGGGGGGGGAGAGGGATGGTTTGCGAGACCCCTCTCCTGTATATTCCTGACCAGGAAGGTCGACTCCTATGGTTCTACTTGTATCTTACTCCTCTCCTGGACCCTATGGGGGCCTGCCCTCAGTGGTCTGGCTGACTCGGGGTTTTGTTTTGGTAGTGTCCCAGAAACAGAGTGTACTGATCCACAAGTCGTTTTATTTTGATGTATTTGTCTACTTGTATCTGTATCTTTAGTTTTTGAGTTATCATTATTGTATTGTCTTGTACTGAGATGCGGAGTTTAGAATGTCGATCTGTAATTGTCATTGTCTTACTGTGATTGTTTTATGTATGAAAATTCAATAAAAACTTTACCTGTTAAAAAACAAAACAAAATGATCACAAGAACGGTGAGCAAAAATCCCAGGACCACACAGGGGGACCTAGTGAATGACTTGCAGAGAGCTGGGACCAACGTAACAAAGGCTACCATCAGTAACACACTACGCAGCAGGGGGACACTTGAGGTCTACCTATGATGCCAATTACAGGCCTCTCTCATCTTTTTAAGTGGGAGAACTTGCACAATTGGTGGCTGACTAAATACTTTTTTGCCCCACTGTAGGTCTAAACCCTAGGGTGAAAGGATGGACTGATACTTCTGGAAAGTGGCCCACCCTTGCTAATCCATTTTATATGGCTCCTTACCTCCTGCAATTTGTCATCTCTTCCTGAAGTGAGACTTTCTATGAGGGCTTCAAGAAACTAGCGGAACAGAATGCCAGCTACATTGCTCACTACTAGAGATCAGCCTGGGCTTGGTGCAAATCCAATTCACCCATTTTTAACAAAGCGTATCTAAACCCCCCAAAAAATGACCACCACACTTCATGTCTATGCTGTATTCCTCCATGGTATCTATGAGGGAAGACAGGGTTGTCACAAAGGTTAAACTATTTTCTGTACTTGCTCAAAAATCTTCTTAGACGTGGTGGCTATATTAGCTTTCACTTTTTAGACGAATATCGGTAAGCCCCAAATATTACATTTTTGTTTTCTGGTTTAGGATACACTTAACTTTTAAGAACCTGAAATAAATACAAAAAACAATTCAACTTACCAAATGACTCATTACATAGCTGCTTATGCTGCAACTTCCAATCCATCAACTGATGACATTTGCTGCAGTAATTGACTTGATGACATTTGGAGCATGTTTTCGGTCCCAAGCAGCCGCACACTCTGCAGACACGAAGGCCGCACTTCAGCTGGAAGCTTATGAAGTCTTCACTTGCAGGTGGAGGTGAATCACGTGGTGGGCCATAATTATAAGTGTCATTTTTCCGGGGCAGCTGGTTCCGAAAAACTAAAGAACAGTACTTCAGTTTACAGACCTCTCATACATCAGATATATACCAATGCTATAAATCATGCTGGTGTTCCTGTAGGTTTACAGAATATCCCGGGCCACAGTGCTAAATAGTATATTAAAGTGAACCTGTACTTTGCCCATTTAATGTTACAGGTTCACTTAAGAGATCACCCCCCCCTCCATTTATCAATCTAACCTCTCTACGCAGTCAGGTTTTTATCGCTGTCTGTGTCCGAGATTTGCTCTCCAATTGTCCTGATCACCAACATCACTGAGAATGAAAGGGAAGATGAATCCAAAATATCACCAGAACATGATCAGGTGAAATCTTCCTATGGGGACACCTGTTACCATAACAACTAAGAGGGGATTTCCCTCACACTGTAAAGATATCCTCTCTAAGCTGAACTCAGCTATAAAGATTTACATATACTTACACTGGTCCAGCTTGGCACAACGCAAGTATACATAAATTATCCCAGGTCGGCCCACAGGGATCAAGGGGCAGTGCTGCAACATCACCACCCCTCATCCAATCAGAGACTGCCTAATATTTATTGATAAGGTTTGGTGTGTCATTTCTCACATAGCATAACTTAAAGCAGAACTTTGGCCATATGAAAATATAACACTTGCAGTGGGGTCACCCCTGCACTTCAAGGATTAAGTGCTCGTGTTGTCTAGGCTCTATATTGGCCACTGCAGCCTCTTCCGCTCCGGCAGTGGAATGTTCCTCATTGTCCTCACGTCTAATACTCTGTATTAGACATGATGACATCACAGGACCTTACATCACTGGAGCGGAGGGGGCCCTAGGGTCGGGTGAGTATAAGATTGTTATTTTAGTCCCTAGACCAAATCAAGCACTTAGAGAACTATGGGGTCCGGGCTTTTCCCCATAGTTCTCCTTAGGGTAACGGGAGGACACAAACTAGCGTCCTCCTGTCACCCTAAGCTCAGTATACCGCGAGCTGTTAGGTGAGTGAAAAGCACTCACCTCATAGTTCTCCTTTAACCCTTGCAGTGCAGGGATAGCCCTACTGCAAGGGTTAACGTTTTATATGCCCAGAGTTCTTTAAGCTTACAGGACAGGAAGTGAAGGTAAATTTCCCTGAGACATGGTTAAAAAAAAAAAAGCTGGGTTTGACCCTCCCCTAGTCTACACAAAAGTTAACAAAATAAAGTTTTTATAAAGATAAAAACTAATTAGATGAGTTATAATTCTTAAAGTGGTAATAAAGTCAAAAGGATTTTAAGCCATTTCAAAAGCTGATAAAATCACTTACAATGGATGCTGCTTCTTGATGTTTAAACGTTTTAGCTTCAAGCTAAAGCTTTAGCTTTAACTCCTGCAGAATCAGCTGATGGACGCGGCCGGGAGGGGAGGTGAGTCACAGGACCCGCCCCCTCACTGTGAAGCACGTCGACAGTGCGGGGCCCCGGTGTTCGAACACCGGGACCCTGCACTGCCCCATATTGCAGGACAGGACCGCACTGAGACTGTGCGTCCCGGGGTACCATTTGATCCGCGGACCGGGGGTTGGGGAACACTGATGTAGGGGATCCCACCTGCCCTCCTGACCGAAAATGCCCCAACTACCAATGGGGGGGGTGCTGAAATGACAGCGGATGGCGGATCCGCTGAATCAGATAAACAAAATACTAAGTCACCAGCACTGCAAAGGTTCTCCAAGCATAGTTCTTTTTATTCCACATGAACAGTTACATCACAAAGCGTAGCATCTAGTAACTGTACACATGGAATAAAAAGAACTTTGCTTGGAGAACCTTTGGAGTGCTGGTGACTTAGTATTTTGTTTATCTAGTAAGCTGTGTGTCTCCACAAACACAGAAAATCAAGCCACTCCCCTCCCTTCTCTAAGCCAGCACTGTTCGGACTAGTTCACACCAGCCCCAGTGCATTTCGGACAGATCACATCCTGGCCGGCTCTCACTGTTTTGGGGCGTGGCGGTGCATTGCTGCAAGCACTATATTTTCTGATCGCACCAGACCGGAACGCAGGCCTTGATGTGCCCCGCGTTCCGGTGCGGGCGATCGCACTGCGGCCCGGAGGGTGTGGCTGCAGTGCCTTTGACTTCAATGCACTGCCACTCCCCAAAACAAAGTGAGACGGCCGGGATGCGATCCGACTCCAAATCGGGCTGGTACGCACTGGGGCTGGTGTGAACTAGCCTGGACACTTCCTGTAGTCTGCACTGTCCTTTGTGATCTCGTGCTGGCAGGAAGTTGAGGGAAGCTGAGCTGAGAGACCTTGAAGTAACTGTTCAGAAATATGATGATTATATGTGAAGCAATGCTTTGCTGGCCCATGTATATTTGTTTGATCTGGATTAATTAGTATAAAACATTTGACAGCTTTAAAAGCATCTGGATATACCAGTTTGTGCTGTTTCTATATTTGAGATTTTTTTTCCCCATTACCACCCTCAAAAAAAAAAAAGGAAGAATGTAAACATTGATGTTTAGTTTCTCAAACCAGACTCAATAATCACCAAGGTATGCTGCTTCCGTTACAATACGAGCCCGGGGCTGGAGGAATAGTCTGCAGAAGCCAGCGCATTGCACCCATCATCCACTGATCAGGGCTGCAATACTCTGCAGGCTCCAAAGCAAAAATGTTGATAAATGCACTTTTTTCTTATTTCCACATGTATTAATGTTCTGCAGAAAGTGGAATACACTTTGGAGGTCCCCTTTAAGGAGTGAACATTTGCTATGAAAGGCATGAACAGTTCTAGTTAGATCTAATAAACTTTATATATAAATATAACCCCCAGAGGATGAACACAGCCCTCCATGACATCTACGCAGGTTGGTACCTTTAAAACATCGGTTCTCCGCCGCCAGATGACACTGAGGATCGCGGCAGCAGAAGATGAAAATAGTGCGGTGGAAGCTGCCCGTACACGGGGCATACACCTGTAATAAGAAGGCCAGGGGCTTCCCGCACAGCCCGCACTGCAACGCCTCGGGGCCCGGAACACCCGCCTCACCCAACCACGCTGGACGGCCGCCTGTCTTACTGGGGAACTGCGGGCTACGCAGCCGCCACGGCTCTGCCTCCTGTACGAAGCCAAGTTCTATCACTGTGACAGAAGCTGCCATTTTTCCCAGCACAAACAACTACCACGTGTGTACAGAGGGGAGCAGGCTACGCAGAGCAAGCGCGGTTCGTTCCCAGCATGCGCAGTAGAGAATCGCGAGAAGCTTAGTTCCGCCATGTTTAGTGATGGCAATGAAGGTTCGGTGGCTGGGGATGAAGGACGTTTTCAAAAAGGATGCGGATGAATAAAAAAAATGTTAAAATGCACATTTATCAATACTGAACTATGAATCTCAAAGGGCGATAACGGAGATGTGAAACCTTGAAGCTGTCGTGAAACTACAAATTCCAGCATGCTGCTGTTCTGCCAGAGTCTCGCAATGCCTCATGGAATTTGTAGTTCTACAACAGCTGGCGTGCTAAAGTTGCCCATCAATGGTCTATACTGTATGATAGGGTGGGCAACTCTAGCCCTCCAGCTGTTGTAGAACTACAAATCCCTTGAGGCATTGCAAACCTGACAATTACAGGCATGACTTCCGGAGGCATGGTGGGATTTATTTATTTATTGCAGGTATTTATATAGCGCCGACAATTTACGCAGCGTTTACATCAATTTACGCAGCATACTTTACATAGTTGCACATTCACATCAGTCCCTGCCCTCAAGGAGCTTATAATCTACAGTCCCTATCGCACATACATACAAGGGCCAATTTAGACAGAAGCCAATTAACCCAGAGGAAACCCACGCAAGCACAGGGAGAACAAGCAAACTCCTTGTAGAAAGTGTCCTGAAAGGCAGAAGAACTAGCCACTACACCACTGTGCTGCGATTTGTAGTTAAAGCACAGCCGGGGTTGCCCACCTCTGCTGGTCCATGAACTAGGTCATAGTTTCCAACATTTCCCAAAACAATTTCGATGGACACTTTTTTTTTGCTGTTTGCTGCAAGCGTTTGTGCTTTGATTAGGGGCTGAGCATTGATTTAAAATGGGCATGGTTCTACCAGAGGTATAGTGTTAACCTAATGTATAAATTAGCCCTTTTCGCTGCCACTGACGTATGTCATGTGTCAGTACCAGCGGGCCTCTGTAGATGGACTTCCAACGGCTGTTTACATGTGTAAAGCCGGCTGTCGGCTTTACACAGGAAGTTATTCAGCTGTAAAGCCGCCTGATCGCTTCCACGGGCCAATACATGCATGTTTCCCTGTCTCCCTTGCTTCCTGGGCTTCGCTGCCCCACCTGTGGGCCTGGCACCAGCATTGCGGGTGAGGGGAGAGCAACCAGTGAATATCCGCTTGCTGATCTGTTACCCCCCCCAAATGAAGCTGGAAGCGACAATGATTTCATCACTTGCGTTTTCTCAGCTGTCTCTGGCTGAGTAAGAAGGTAATCAAGCATGATCTGGCAGCTGGAGGACAGAGCACAGAGCTGGGACTGCAATAGCTGATGGAGGAAGGAGTCTGTTCTCTTCTCTTTACAATAGTAGCCTTCTGGGGCCGCTCTGGATCAGCCTTATATGTGTTGCCATGGTGCTGCCCCCCACACCCTGGAAAAGTATCAAGATGTGCACCCCCAGCATCCAGAGTATGAGAGGAGCTGTATCTGGACTCCACCTCTGCCATGACCTGCTCCCCCTCCGGCCCTCTGCCATGTTGCTAAGTAATCATAACCACCGTTATGTAAACAATGTGAAAATTAAGATGATTTATGTATATTTAATGTGACTAAAGCTCAAACTTTGAGTAGGGGAAGGGTCAGAAAACCTCTAAGATTTTTATTGTGCTGTGTGTCCTAAAAGTGAAAAGGGGAAAATCCTAACCTCTTCACAAGGTCCACATGGGATTATTTTAATAAAAGCTGCAAATGTAAAAATATTGAACATACTTTTGGAATTATATGAACAAGTTAATACTCACTCATATGACATGTTCAATGTTACATCTATATGTAGGGTGTAACATGGTGCCATTTGACAGCTCTCCCCTTCTCAACCTGCTCCCACTTACCTGAATCACAAGGTTCCTATGTATGTTGGGTGCCCATACAGCCGCATTATTCATTTACAGATCAATTCGCTGGGTCTGTGAATGAAGAAACTACAAGCCCCACCGCGGCAGAGAGACTAATAGTTCTCAACAGAGTTCAAGCGCAGTGACATCACCATACGTGTATTGTATTGATCACTTCCTCCATCTCCATAACTGAAGGTTCATATACCTACGCAGACCTGGGACTGGAGCAATAGTCTGCAGGAGCCTGTGCACTGCACCCATATATCCACTGATCGAGTCTGCAATGCAAAAAATTATCTTTTTTACCATATGGGCGCATTTTTTGGGGGGAAAAAGTGGAATATGCTTTTAAGAAAACAAAAATCTCGCGTGAGTGTGTAAAAAAGAACCGGAAAACATATAGTTATAGTACAATTCAACTCTTTGTTTTGTTTTTTTGCATACATCTAGCTAGTGCTAGCAAGCAGTAGATATAAGCAAAAACATTTGAAAAAATAAAAAAGTTACCAAACAGGTTATTACTTACAGCTGTCTCCGCCGCTCGCTCCAGTCTTAAGATCTGAAGCTTCTCGAGCAACCGTGCAGGATGATGGGGCGTTGCATGCGCAGTGGAGATTTTCGGCGGGGAGAAAAGGAGAGGCACAGTGGAGGTGAATGCATGCAGCCGGGAGTGTGCACATCGGAAAGACATCATGGGACACAAGGAGTCTGCACTGGATCGGAGACCGGCACCAGTCCTGTAGGGATTGCTGAATACAAGTGGAAGGAAGAAGATGATTGGATCAAGAGGCATCATTTAAGGTAAGTGTTTAAAGCAGCATGGGGGATATTTGTGATTTTAATGTCATTTTAAGAGGGACCGTTTGGGGAAAATTTGTACTTATACCAGTTAGCTAGTTAGTCTGTGGGAACATGATACATTTACAATACAAATATTGATCTACATGGTGATTTTCATTACCATGCCTATGCCTATGAAAGGCCTTCAAAACCGGCAATGACTAAAAATGCCCCCTCCCCCCTCAATCAATTTGCAAACAACTGTAATTTTAGGCTGGAATATAACATATCTACTAGCAGATATATTGTTTAAAGGAGTAAACGTGCTGTAATGTGAGCCATGAATGTGATACCGCAGTTGACATGAATGGGCCCTTAAATAATTCAGAAGGGATCCTAGAGAAGGGACATGAAGACATTCATCGATGGAGCTTTCAATGCACATTAACCTATGAGATATTTACTTTACTTATTTCAGCTGCTGTTAGTTAAAACGTTTTAAGCATGCGAAACTGTGACAGTGTGAAAGTAGCTGTACGTGTGAGGCCTTTCAATAAGGTAAGATGTTACCTTTGTTTTATCTTCTTTAATTGCTCTGGAAACCATTTTGTATTGTGGCTGATGTGACATGCAAAGAGAGTACTCCTTCTAAATGGAGGATTACATGTAATATTGTATTTTTTTGAAGACTTGCACTATAATACAATGTTACAATAAATTCTGTAGGGTTTTCAGTTACTCCCATAACTATAGTCTTTTCATGGTATACTTCAACAATGTATATTTTATATATTGTGTTATCAAAGAGAGAATGTCATCCCCATATAAATATTTATATGTAATCTTCCCCTTCTGCAATCACTATTTAAAGGAGTGCCTACCCTTTTTATTTTAAAGAAAAAAAATCCATCAAAGTAACATTAAAGTCTAAAAAATGTTCCCCTCCCTCCATTGTTAGTGAAAGCACTTACCTGAAATGATGTCTCTTAATCTTCTTCTTCTTTCCTATCGTTTTCATCTGTCCCTCCAGTACTGCGGCAGGTCTCCAATCCAGCGCTGTCTCCTCTGTGTTTGCTGGCACTTCCTGTCCCACAGTGTCTGCATGCGGGTGCACGCTGTTCATAGACTTACCTTGTGTCTCTCCTCGTCTCCCAGCCGAAAATCTGAACTGCGCATGCGTCTGCCCCAAGATCCTTTGTGACGAGATTTTTCAGATTTTCGGACGGGAGCGCGCGGAGAAGATGGGGGTAAGTTTAAACTTCCTTTAAAGCGTTTTTTTGTTTTTTTTTGCATATACCTACTGCTTGCTAGCAGTAGATATATGCAAAAACACCTGAGGGTTTAATAACCCTTTAACATTATGGCTTACAATGCTTATTTAAAGGCTGCCTTCCATTTTTAAAAACTATGCTTATGTTTATTATTGCTGCTCCTGTGTGCTCCCGCTCTCCTTCTCAACCACGTGGCAGGATGGACCGATTGTTGGATCTGCGGGCCCAGCTCCTCATGAACCAGCACTGGGCTAGGGGAACTTGGCTTGCGTAACCACACAGGTGTAGTCTGCTTTCTCTCGCAGCAGCGGCTGAGCTCAGTGGATTGCACATGCGTGGTTAGCCAAGCCAAGTTCTACTAGGGTGCTTGTTCATGAGGAGCTGGGGGTACACATCCATAAAGAGAGGCAGCTCACTGGAGCAGCAATAAAAAAACTAAGCATCATTTTTAAAAACGGAAGGCAACATTTTAAATGCATTGTAAGCTGTAATGTTAATTAATTTTTGGGGAAAAAAATCCTTTACATTATGAGATACCAGCGGGGGACACTGGAATGCAAATCCTTATAACCAATCAATTCTATAGTTTTTATAATGTAAGGTATTTTAGGCCGCATTAACAGACCATTGTAATTCATTTATCTAATCCAGATAGCTTACTAGGTGATATAGATGGAACCAGAGGTAGAGCACTATACATATTTTTTTAGAGTGTAAACTCTTGATGGTGGACAGATTATGACAGGAAGACCTTGCTGTTGTGGGATCTAAGACATTTAAAGTGATGTGGGGTTCCCCCCCAAATCCATACCAGACCCTTTAGGTCTGGTAGGAATGTTAAGGGGGAACCCCAGCCTCACCTCAGTCCTACCAGACCCCTGATCCGAGCACTGGCCCGGCAGGGCAGGTAAGGGTAGAAATATGATTCTAGCACTTGCAATTTTTTATTATAGTGGCCTGCAGCCGATGGCGCATATTACACGACACGCACGTAAGTAAATACATAAAAACGCGCCATGCCTGCGTGAAACCGCGCCATGATGTGCGTGTTCG